ACCAAACAATCACTCAAGATAACATAAGCAAGACATCCTTTTGTATCACATGAACAATTCCATCATAACGTGTAACTGTTTAATGGATGGTTGAAATGCCACAACCATTTAAAAATCAGCTCAATAAACATAACACTTGTAATTTATTTGAGTTTGCTAATTTGTAATTATTCATCAGTATAACCTCAAAAAGAATGATGTTATTAGATACCGTTCCACTATTTAAGGTGAAATGTGAGCAACTAAGTAGCCTTTTTACTAAAAGTAATACCATTAATGGTTCTCATGAGGTTATTCAATTCGTGTATTTTTGGACTTGATTAGTTAAAGATTCTATAAAGTCAACAATATGTTAAGAAACCGCATTTAAAGAGTTTAGAATCTACGTTAAATAATGTTTTGGGATTTAAAGCTACAGTGTCTTGACTGAATTTAATAAGGCATAGACTTCATAACTCTTCATTGTATCATTTCTTGAAAACACTGCACTGATCCATGAACTGACATTTTCATCTGTGAAACATTCTTTTTGAACCGTATTTTATATTGATTTATTCATTTATGAGTTATTTTGAGGTTCCGATTCATTCAAACTCAAAGATTTTCTCTTAATGGACCTTACCAACAAAAACGTTCGTTTATATGCCGATTCATATGTATCATCGTTGTTTAACGGAAGTGATCAAAAAAATCGATATAAATGAAATATTATGTACAATTAAAATATAAGTGCATGTCCTATTAAATTGATACACATAAAAACAACCACACTGAATTCACATATAATCAAATGTTATACAAAAAGTGTGCTCACTGATTAATTAGTGCAAATATCTCAGCCTAATAGGTAAGTCGTGGCCTTAACAGTTCAATGGCATTTTCGCAGATTCGAATCGACCGAAGAGCAAGTTCTCTCATCAGTACGGCTACGCCTTGCTGATACGTGTAACTAACACGGAACCAAAGTCAAGGAGAGATTACTGCCAAACGCCCTTAACCACCCAACATCAAAGGGGTCCTCGACTGAGGACAAAGTAACTTTGACTTATTCATATGGCTTTGTGTTCGGCATAACTACGCCTGTAGCCCTTCTAGCGTTACTGCCGATCCCAAGCGGGAGTAAAGGAGGAAGGTTGGGAATGGAGTCAGCAACCCTATCAGGAAAAAACTTTAATAAAAACATACTTACCAGGAAATACCATTTAAACTCTGCCCTGGGAGTTGACGAATCTTCGTTCAGAAGAATTATGACGCCTCATGATGAAAGCCGTGATACTTCGAATGTCACGAGGCCGATGCCTCTTCTAACACCAGAGCAACAATTCACATAAGTATATGGAATATCCGGACAATGTAGTAGACCGAGAGGACCAATCAAATAGGTGCGCCCATGAAGAGATACAAATTGGCGGTTCTCGAAATAAGTGAGAACAACTGGGTTCAAGTGGGGCGGAAAACATTAGATTCAAGAGAGGTGCTGTTGTATTCTATTCATGAAGAAGTAAATGCTTTACACAGGCTGGATTCCGTAAAAATCGGTCATGCACAGACCAAATCGGGACACTAAGGATAATCGTTAAGCAATTAACTGAACGGAATTCATCACCATACATAAACTTCCTTGATTATGAGAAAGCATTCGACAATGTGGATAGGAGAACCTCGTGGAACCTTCTTCGACACTGGTGTACCTGAGATCGTCAACATCACCCGGAATTCATACGACAAACTACAGTGTAAAGTCATGCACGAAGGACAGCAGACAGATGCATTTCAAGTAAAGACTGGTGTCAGACAAGGCCGCTTACTCTCTACTCTTCTTTTCTACTGGTGGTTGACTGGATTACGAAAATCTCCGCATCTCGTAAGAGACACGGAATGTACTAGACCACTTGGATGCAGCTAGACGACTTTGTAGATGGCCCAGCTTTTCTATCCTATACACACAAACAAATCCAAGTGAAGACAGACGGTGGAGAAAAAACCCCCTATTGACGAACACCATAGAATCGGCCTACTAACTCGAGATCCCATTAATGATGTTTTTGATTTCTTAATACAACACTGAAGTGTGATCAGTAGATAACTCCTAAGCTTTTAAAATAGCTGGAAAACAGGTCAGAGTATCTCGTCAGCTGTTCTTGAGATCGGCTGCTATTGTACACATGTTCGTTTATTTAAACACATAAACATTGCTACAAGGAGGCATCAAATAGATATGAGACACATAAATCATTCAATTTGTGTGAGGGCTGAGATACTGCCCAGGTGCCCAAACCGAAGTGATTTTCTTAGAGGGCCACACCCGGAGCCTTCGATCTATAGGTCTGATCCACAAGGCAGTGGAGCAACGTCAGAAGATCCAGTCTATTGGTAGTCGGTGACCAACAATAAGGTCATACGATATTTGCTCCTTCAGGATACTGGAGCCCATGTGCACCATTGGTTTGGAATCAGGGTTTTTTTTAACTCCCCTAGGTGAATCTTCCATATCCACCAATCCGGTTAAAGCGCCCGACATCCGCTTTTTGTCCTCTCAATTTCGTAAACAACAGTGATGCCGCTAGAAGGCAGTGAGTAGGACTTCCCTGTCAGTGGTTGTATGCACATGGTCATGTAACAGTGTTTCTAGAGGGAGAGCTGACATTTCCCACTCTCGGCTGTACCAGGGCATTTGGGAGCACTCCTATCGACTAAACAAGCATTGTATCCATCGTTTTCTTTCGCTCGGTAATTCGCTACGTTATGTGAATTTTCTATAAAAATTGCTTCCGTAATATCACAAAGGTTTATAGACTAATATTAAATTTCAAGTTGAAAAAATGAGATTATCTTTTATTCACTTGTAATTCTTATAAATAAAGTAATTATACATAGGAACTATACCGTATATTGTAGAGTTTGACTTTAATTCGGAAATAATCTTTTTTTCCAAGAAAATTTTTATGAATTTGATAGATTTATTTTTATTGATTGATTATTTTTAGTTTCACAAGTCTTATTAATATATTACTACTATTTTTAGATTGTAACTTGACTGGTTAAACAAAATATATGTGAATCAATACTTACTTAACTTATAGGTTGATCACATAACTAATCAGCTCATAGTGATTAGTAGATATACCTTTAAAATAATAATAATAATACTGGTGAGTTATTGTTACTTTAGTGTAATCAGTTTTTTTATAGTTTATTTGAGCTATGTGAAGATTATCATATGGTCACTAATGTCTAATTTTAAGAGATAAATTGCGAATTCACAGTGAGCTATTATTCAGTGGAGTCTGTCAGATATAAGGCGGTTACTCACTGAAGACAATGGAAGATATTTGATTAGCTATCAGCTCAGTGGTCTAAAGGTTAAGCATTTGCTGTGAAATCTAAAGGTCCAACGTCCGACTCCTGGTGAAATTGTGGATGTGCAGTACTCTAAAAGAGTTTAGATGGTGGTTGGAGGTAGTCAATAGGAAACTCTGGACCCGGGTTTCGTGCTACTTGGAACTCGCCAGCAAGTTGTACTTGTAATCTTGAGCGAACTGGTGCTCCCTCAAACCACCAACTAATCTCAACATAGTGCACGCAGTGTTGAGTCACCGTGACTGGTGGCCACATTGCGACCTGGTCGATAGCATTCAATCTGCACTAATAAGGACTTGACATACATGACATTGATCACCACCCAGTGATATGCTATGACAGGAAACGTTCATTCACAATATATCCAAAAAGACTTTTACCTACATGTGTTTAACCGATGGAAAATATTCAGAATGACGCTCCGCAGAACTTCATAATTAAAATTAATATGCCCAAGTAATTTTAAAATCCACAGAGTACAAAATAATTAATAATTGTAAAGAGGAAGAATGTACTTGAATGAACTCGAAGTAAATCCAACGTCTCAACTGGCAATCTCGTCCAAGCTTTTCCAAGGAAATAACTGGTATACATCTCCAGTATAGTTAGACCAAATGATTGATTAATTTATTAGAAAATGTTAACCTGAATTAAACAAACTCATTAGCCTAAAACAATGAATGACAACGAATTAAAAGTATTCACCCAATATTTTCCTTCTTGCTTTGTTTCAATAAAATAGTAGCTTGTCGAATATACTCAGTTGTTCATCAGTTACGCAAACTTATTATTCCCACTGTTTAATTTAAAAAAACCACCACTTAAATAACACGTGGAATCATTTCTGAAAACAGGAACCAAAACTCATCAATGTAATACTAAATAACTCTCGTTAAATGCTAAGGGCAATATGTAAAACAATTTTAGTATACAAGGGCAAAACAAACAACTTGAATATAATTAGCCGCAACACCTACTACTACTCAAAGGGAATCATCAAGAAGGAGATCATGTTGCTAACTAGTATTTAGTATGTTAAGATCTGCACTCGCGATGTGGCTATTCTCTTAGCAGTAACAAGTGTCTGAGAAATTATGGACAGTGCCATTGATTAGAAAGTACTAATGTTGATCAACACTGTCATGAGGTAGCACACTAGTTCCCAATTTTAAGGATAAATCTTTATAACAATGCCAACCTGCGTATAAGTAGGAGTTATGTTTTCAATAATTCAGAAGGAATCATATGATCGACCAAATATTCACTCTATTAAATGTTATATAAACGGACTTAGACTGATCATTGTGTTGCACTGAAGAACAGTGCAATTGACATATTTCAAACCCAAAATACAGTGGAATGGAATGTAACTGAAGTTTACGTGTCACGACAAATTAAATGGATGTAAATTTAAACCGAGTAACTTACCAAATAAACTATGTTCTAGTTTTAAAAAATTCAAGTTAAAAATTAACAACAACCATCGGTCTATGATACCGGACTGGTGATAAGGTCCAAGTCCCACCTCAATCACCGCTTATTCTATTCAAGACATAAATTACACATTCATTGCTAAACTGGAATTTGTCCATTTAATGGAAATAGAGAACAAATTTAGTAACATTGAAGTTGATTGGTGAGGAAACAATACTGGTTAGTGGATTTCGCTAATACAATGATGAGGACTAAAATTGAAAGTCCAACTTGAAAGGGTGCAGGAATATTTCTACCAACCTTAATTATCGACATGTCCAGTCAGACTGATTTATTTTGGGACAGGATAATCAAATAAATACTAAGTCCCTTTAGGAATTGTTTAGAGAAGCAAGGAATAGAAATAAATCTTAGATAAAGTAAAAAATAGTGAGATTGTCAACCAAAGATATAATAAGCTAGTTTTATATATACTCAAGTTTTCTTCATAGGACATAGATATTGAACTGAAATTTCAATAATACTTATCTGTATATCTATACGGAATAGTAACTGATAATGAGATAGAATAATGAAGCGAGAATTGGAATGGCGGACGAAATAAACAATTAGACTGAACCAAAGAAAATAACGTTACGTCATTTTATTTTTATTGATTGATAATTAATTGACAATTACTACATTACAAGTAGAGAAGTATGAAAAACCCTCTTCTGAGTATTCACTTTATTTCTGCAAAAAGGTGGAGTGGGGATTAGAAAGCAAGTAGTAGTCTTATCACGAAGCTAGTGAATACATGAACAATAATAATAGTGATAAACAAAGTAAGATGGACGCATTTAATAGTTATTGTGAAATTAATTGGGTAAGATAATGCAACAATCTTGGTAAAAAAAATCTTGATAGAAAAGTCGGATCTCAGAAGAAACAGAGAAAAATTATCAAACACAAATTAACACAGGGCTGTTTGGGTTCATCATACATACACAAGGAAAAAATATGCTACATAATGGGAAGAGACAAAAAAGAGAAAATGATGAAACTATACAGCATCTCGCTGATACACTTCGATATATATATATATATATATATATATATATATATATATATTAGCTGGATTGTTTCTGAAGTGTTTGTGTGAAAATAGACAAATTTAATGAATTTACGGTTTTATATTTGTTTTTACAAAATCGAAAGAATAATGAAGACTAGGAAGTGGAAGAGCTTGAACCATTACTATTTCCTGTTAAGTTTGGACGTGGATCTTCATATCGTGAAGTATCATGTCCGGATAAATCCTTTCGACAAACCGGACAAGTTCCATGCTAAAAAGTAAAAAATTGAAAAGTACGAATTTTTTGTTAATGTTTTGCAACAAAAGTAATGTGATGAATAGGGGAAAAAATATTTTCTTTCCATTAGTCTCTAATACATATATGTATATAAAATAAGTTTCACACGTGAAAAGAATATCGAATGACTAAGAAATTGGAAGGCATAGGGTAAATCAACCATTATGATCAAAGTATTTACTTATAGAAATTGAAAACATGTAGTTCAATGGTCAACGGGTTACATAATGCCTGATAAGAAAATTAGCGAAAATATATTGATAACAAATTAGTTTAGTAATGGTTATGTAAGAATTAAAGAGACGAATGTCAAGATTACGTCTTAATAAAAAGTGAAATTTAGAACAACTGAGAAAAGTGGAGGGAATCCACGTTTCTTTCCAACCTGCTTTGGTATGACTTTTGTCCATGGCCAAATTAGGGAGGATTGTACAAACATTTTTTGAACACTAAAGTTAGTGAATTAAATAAGTATGCAAAGTACGAACCGTAAATCATACGGTAAATAAGATGGAATATGGTGAACAACACAAAGAGCTGTATTTGAATCAGCATGATGCTGTCAACCAAGTGAGCGAAAATTGAACCTTTGTTCGACCTTGTTTTTCTTTTTATCCATGTCAGATAATGTTCAGCGATACAATGATGAACTTGCTGATTTTTTTCTGTATAACTGGCTTCACAACCAAAAATGATACACACACATGGATGCAGTAAATTTAGACATTTCTTATTAGTGGTTGTTTGATGATTGTTAACAGTCTTCCTTAACTTTCATGTTAATATATTACAGGCAACGTTTTGAACTGTGACTTGAACAAAAGTAACATCTTCCACATCATTGTTATCTAGTTTAGGTGTAGACGAATTCGGGATTATTTATTTATTTGAACACATAAATATTGGTACAGGGGGGCACCAAATATATATGCGCCACACAAAACAATGATAATTTGAAGAGGAGAAAAGAGAGAAAAAAAGTAATGAACGTGGGGAATTATAAAAAAAAAGGAGAACAATGATGAGGGAAACGGAAAGGTACAATCAGGAGAAATCTTTCAGTTAAGGAAGATACAACCACTTTTTATGAAGAAAGTAAGAGGTTATAGCACGATCGCCACTGGCTTCTATTCTTAGCCATATCTGATAACGTCTCTAGCCACTGCGTTACACCGTCTCTCGGACCCCAACCAGGGAGTCGTGAAGGACCAACAGAAGCTAGCCCTTTGCAGCTTTCTTTCATACCACGACACCATGTCATATACTGACCACCTCTCCGCTTTTTCCAACCAGTCCCAGAGTCGGCAAATAATGCACGACGTGGAATTCTCTGGGACGACATTCGTAGAACATGTCCAAGCCACCGAAGTCGGTGTTTCAAGATGGTGACACCAATTTCATTATCGTCTCTGTGACCGAACACTCGATGCTGAACCTCTGCATTACTGACATGGTGTTGCCACTGGATGCCAGCAATCCTTCGGAGACAACGATGATCGAACACAGAGAGTTGTCTAACATCCTCAACTCGGAGAGGCCAGGTTTCACAAGCATAGAGCAGAACTGCTCTCACCGTCGCGTTGTAGATCCGACATTTTACAGCCAGACTAACATCACGAAGGCGCCAAAGATGGTCCACATTGGCATAAGCCGCTCTGGCTTTCACTATACGTGAATTGATCTCATCACTCACGCCACCACCAGCACTTATGCAGCTACCTAAATACACCAATTTCTCGACTACTCCAATCTGCTCACCATCCAGAGTGAGTACAGGATTAGAATCCTGCCAGTCTTGTAGAAGAACTTTGCACTTCGAAGGTGCAAAGCACATACCATACCTACGGACACTGATTGCCAACTGATTAAGTGCGGATTGCATGGCTTGGGCATTCTCGCACAGTAAGACAATATCATCCGCATACTCAAGGTCGAGAAGTCTTTCTCCAGGCAACAGATCCACACCACCATTACTTACATTCATCAGAGCTGTTTCCAGAATGTCATCGGTGGCAAAGTTGAAGAGGAATGGTGAGATTGGGCAACCCTGCCTAACCCCACTGCTCGAATGGAATAGTGGAGAAAGGTGATTGTATGCCCTCACTCTGCCTGAGGTGTTTGTGTATAAGGCTTTTAGGATGTTAATAAACTTCTCAGGCACACCCTTCTTCAATAGACAATCCCAGAGAAAAGTTCTGTCCAACGAATCGAAGGCAGCCCTGATATCAAGAAACACTACGATTGTTGGCCTTTGATAAGTATGGCGGTGTTCTAACACTTGGCGGAGGGTGAAGATATGATCAATACATCCTCGACCAGAAAGAAACCCAGCCTGCTCCTCGCGAGTCAATCCTTCTCGGGTCCTGAACAACCTACGAAGTATGACGGAAGCCAATAGCTTGGACGCAATCGGAAGTAGACTTATCCCCCGATAGTTGTTACAGGAACAACGTGAACCCTTTTTAAAGATAGGGACAACTATCGACTCATTCCATGACGTTGGTACACTCTCTAGTTCCCAGATCTTTGTAAACAACGTCGTCAGTCCCTTAGTCAAAAAGTCACCACCATCTTTAAAAAGAGCCGGAGGTAAGTCGTCTGGGCCCGGTGATTTGTAACGTTTCAAGAGTTGGAGTTCCTTGCGGACTTCCGCCTCATTTGGTGGATCAGTCGTCACCGGCCATGGAGGGCAGGACAGTCTGACCGATGTTGCCGGAGCAGCAGGCCAGTTGAACTGCCCTTCAAAGAATTCTGCCCATCGTCCAAGACGTCGATGGATGTTAGTGATTGGCGTTCCGTCATCCTCGCAGATTGTTTCGCTCACACCAAACTTCTTGCTGCCAGTGGCTCGGATGAGTTGGAAGAGCTTCCGGTAATTACCAGATGCAGCTGCTGCTTCCAACTCACTGGCACGCATCGACCACCAGGCTTCTCGGTCCTTACGCAAGCTTTGCCCGATTTCATTACGTAACATCCTTCGTCTGTGGTCAAACTCACGGTCACCCGGAGTAGACCGACGGGCTTCAATCAGTTGTAAGGAACCAGAAGAAACCAAGTGCTTGTAAGCGGGACGTTTTGCAAACCCACAACAGACTGTACCCGCCATTTTCATGGCGTCATGCAATTGCAACCAATGCTCATCTATACTTTTCGGTGGAATGGTAGCTAGCCTAGAAGCTAGCTCGGTTCGGTACTTACTAGCAACAGAAGTTGCAGCCAGCTTGCTAACATCAATCCTTTGGTGGCGGTCACTTTGTTGTCTACTGAAAAGTAAGGTAAGATTGGCGCAGACCAGAGCATGATCAGATTCCAGATAGGTACTCCAAAAGGAGCGGCAGTCATGTACACAACCGCGCCATCGGTAGCTGATCGCGATGTGATCAATCTGAGTCCAGGCTTGAGATGCAGAAGGGGGACGCCAGGTGGCACATCGGCGATGACTGTGCCGAAAGTTAGTGCTAGCCAGAAACAGGTTGTGGTCTGTGCATAGTTGCAGTAGACGTTCCTCGTTATCTGTCCTGCGACCAACGAGTCCCCATCGGCCACCTAAACGACTCTCTTCTGTGCCTAGACGCCCGACCTGAGCATTCAAGTCTCCAGCTAGTACTACAATATCTGTCGAACGCACTTTCTGAATAATATCCAACCTTACTAAGAATGGCTACAGATGTTACTTAAATAATATTCGATGGTATCAATAAGAACAGGTTACTATAGCACAGTGAGTGAGGATACCTTTGTACTTAAATAATAAAAAAATATCGAAAAGAATGTATTGTCCAATCGATGATTTTGTACGCGAACAACCCTTCTTAAAATTTCATCTAATCTTGTTAGTAATGCATACAAACATGAGATGCTATTAACTCAGTTCTTTTTCTACAACAAATGTAATTGAATTTTTTTTTAATGTTAGGCAAATTATCTTTTTTTTCAGTACCATGAAAGTACTTTGGCAACCTGCTAGAATATCTGGGCTACCTGTTTCTGATATCAACATATCTCAACAAGTTATCTATCTTTTGTTTGTTTTAACACATCATTATAGCTCTTAATCGCATAATCTATTCAGGCGCCTTTATGAAAAGTTTACAATCTTTCACCGTACAACTTACAAAAAACTAAAATCAAAGACATGATGTTAGATGTCAATATGCATTAAAACGAATGATCATTGTTCAGATTTTGATTCCTGAACTGTTAACATCATTTAACTGGCGATAGATTAATATTTATCGTTAGGATAGATAAAATAATAAGGAAAGGAAACTTTGTGCTAAGAATTCCATATTGTACCAAAAATATAATATCGAATAAAGTGATTAATAATAACAATTATTATTATTTATGTGGGGACAGGAAAATTTTAGTTGATTGCATTAAGTTTTTGAGCGGTCTATTCTACAGCTTTACAAGAAAAAAAGACTGAAAGATCTATTATTGATCACACGACTGCATGATCTAACTGTCATTAGTATGTACTCATTGTTGAATTAAAAGTTGGCATTCATTATGAACCTGAGTATCAACTCTTTTATTACAAAAACTAAAATTACAGTTTCTATACATCTCCTTATAAATAAAATCGACTGTTTGTAGTGAAGGAACATTAATCAACACAGATGATATATCCACTGATATCATGAAGCTACTTTTGACTATCAAATTTATCTTGTTATAACGAGACAAATATTGGAGAGGTTGGAACTATCGGGTTATGATTATTATCTATAATTTGCTGTATAATCGGTAGATAACTTTATTACGGCATTTCTATATTCCCCTCATTCTATGCCTTTAGCGGTAATTTAGATATAGATACGATTCAATGTCGAAATGAATGATGAACGTAAATACCAAGATAGATAAGGCTGTCCCATAAAAATTGTACATGTAACCAATACAGAAAACGAAATTCAGATTGACTTTATTCGACACTAATCCTATAAAATAAATCTTGGCAGCATATTCATGTAGTTGAACATATTATGTGAAGGAAAACAAGAATTTCATTGAACTATTCCGATAGCAGAGAACGAATTTGAACCGATAATCTAGACTAAATTCAACAATAAATAACCAGGTAGGTGTTCAATCGCTTTACAATCTCAGTGAAGATTCATGAGTAGCGTTACCCAAAAACGTACTTGGAAGGTTAACTTAGTGAAAGTAAAAAGCAGTATGATTTACATGGGATCAAATAAAGAGCTACAATAAATGCTATAATTAAATTGACTAGATTACAAATTATATGTTTAGCTTGAAATGAAAGTGAGAATTATCAAACACATGTATATTTACACACCAGACCATAGACTATACGTGTAAGACGTCAAAGGTCTCACCCTGTTGCTCATTATTTGTTAGGTAGAAAACAAGGTTTAAACCTGTGACCAGAATCGATTCAACCGAGTTAAAGATATTCAAAATAAAGCAAAAATTAGGTTTTCCTTTTACTGCTACAAAAAGTATATACAGAATACTAACCTGTTTTAACCATGTTGTAACACAAGTTTGATGGTAGGTGTGAGCACATGGTAATCTGATTACTGATTCGGATTCTTTGAAATCATCAAAGCATATTGAACAAATACCCAACTTTAATGCTTGTTCTTCAGTCAAAATACTTGTAGGTAAGTCTGCAATGGCTGATTCTGGGGCAGGTGGTGGACCCACTTGTAACTCATTCACTAACATAGTGATAATCTGGTCAAAGATAGCTTAAAATACGAAAATGGCCAATTATGCATATGAAGACATGTTTTTATTAGTTATATAGCAACTTCGTTACTTCAAGCTGTGTTAAATTAGATAACTGTGAGATGTTTAATAACATTCTGTTTTGTCTGTCACCTCAGCCGATAGTTACAACTACATCAACTATTTTCGTATAAGTACCTAATACCTGACACTTAGTATCACCTTCGCTCACTCGGCAGTCCGAGACGCGAATGATGATTCAAAGTTAGACACTGCCAAGCAAACCTCCCGGTCAAAGTACCCAAATATCACCTTCATTTCGTGAAATGCGATTAAGGATGACAATGGGTATGTGTTGTATAACTTAACGAATGGTAATATCTGATTGACACATCCATTCATACGAACCCAACTTGGTTTTTGGAGTTTGCTATTGTTGAGCTCCAAATAAGTGACGGATGATTATTGAGGCTAGTATTTTGGACAGCATATTAGCCATAGCCATTCTTGTGTTTTTTACGGGGAGATTTTAGACCTTTCCTATAAACTGGGACGATTATCAATAAAGATCAGGCAGACGGTAGTACATCTGACTCCCAGACTTTTTCAGTCAACTGTCAGATAGACCACTATCCTAGTAGACCTCTGAATTAAACCCAACAGGTACTGCTGCATTTCCTTGTTAAGTGTTGGTGGAAATCCCTAGATAGGTTTTAGAGCAGCTACCAATGTAGTAGGTTTACGAAACCCATTGACCTTTCGACTAACTGCTAACAGATAACATGGTTCTTTAAACAGATCTATCGGTAACATGACATGATCAGGTAAGTTCCTAGCTGATTTTTTCATGAACGCATTCTTAACCTTTCATTATTCGAAGTATGAACAGGTGGTAAGCGAGTCAAATGAATAGGAAAGATAGCAAAAAGAGCATCTAAAAGATGATTACCTATCAATACTTCAAAAAGAGGACGTAATAAACGCATTATTGTGGTTTACAGCTGTCAGAAAGACAGTCTGAGCAGTTAAAACTCCTTAAGTAGGTAATCTATTCTCCAACTACTGGCCTTTTAATACACTAAAGAAAAGAGCTGTACTTATACGAATCAGTAATCTTTTGGTTTAGTTTGGCAACCACTGAGTTTTTCCCTACTGCACTTCTACTCTAAAAAACACCGTAGCCACGACAAAGACAGTAAATGACTAGAAAGTATTCTCATAACTTAGGAGTTTAAACGGGAGAGAGACGGTTTGGTAGCTGAGGTACACTACTTTAGTCTGAAAGTCAAAGTTTCGGAACCTATATTTGGGCAGTCACGTAGTAACACCATAGAAAGGTAGCTCAAGATTAAATACAATAGCTGATAGCTAATTTAATACCTGATTGACAATCATAAAGAACAGCGGTTTGCATCACAGACTGGCCTTAGACTAATCTGTTGTCTGAGGTCAGTTTACGGTGTAAACGGCAAAATTTGATAGCTTCCGTAAACCCTCTATACTAATATAGTGTAATACAGGTACAGAGTATAAAACCAGTTCTATTGATTGCCAGATGTCTAAAAGTTGAGATGAGTAGATCAACTTTCACCAAAACACTTAGCATCAACGAGCACTTTGAGTGACTTCCTAAGTCAACCGCTACTTTGAACCAAAAGTAGTGCACCCACTGCCAAAAAAGTTGCCAGATAAATATCTTAGACGAACATGATGACAGTATTTATAATAAGCAGTGAAACTAATTTACTTAATATATATCCGAGAAACATACTCACCTCTATTAAAAACAAGATTTTGCATATCTCCATCAGCTGATGGAAAGTTTGATAAAAATGGCAACCTGAATGGATGATCCACACTTGATAACTGGATGCGAGTAGAAAAAGCATGACGACCATCCGGAACACGAGTATACACACGTTCTCGTGTCGACCTATGATTTGAATTTCTTGTCGATCGTCGCGACCTTCTAGCTAAATTCTCCCTTTCTAATGACTCATCATCTGTTGAACTAAGGTCATCCCTAGGTGCTGCAAAATAGCGAACAATATTATCGCTAAGCGAACCTCCAAATAGCTGACCTATCATCTGCATTGCATCTAACTGTTATAAATAAAGGTTAGAATGACAGATATATACTTCTGTTTGATTTGATGATAAACCACTTCTGAAAACAATAGGAAAGGAGCAGAAAGTAAATTACCCTGGGCTAATTGCTTCAATGAAACCTGAGTGACACGCTGAACATGTAAAGTCCTGAACAATAATTAAAGAATGTTATTTTAAAATAACCTGCAAGTTTGGGACGACCTCAGCCTCGCAAGAGTGGCAATAGTAGCTATCACCCGAACTGCCAGTTGCCATTACTTAGGCGCAACTTAAATACTGCGCGGTCGGATTTTTTCAGTCTTCTCAAACTCACTGCTAACAATCAAGAATAACGATAACTTACCAGTATCTACTACACATATTAGAAGGTTCATGCATGATCTGGCTGTAACTTCAACAAAATTTAGTCAAGAACGAAATCGATCTCGGTATTTAGTAGCTTAATTTATTATAACTCGTCTATAGTGTTTCATACCAATATGCTGATGTTTACTTAACGGTAAATAAATCTGCAAAATCGATGGCTCTGCAAATCTTCGACCTTATTAGTTTTAATGGACTCACCTAACTGAAGGTGATCGGACATGAATCTACTCCACGAATGGGGACGCCGTGTTTAAATTCTCCTGCAACAGTTTAGACCAGTCGTTTCTCGATATATATTTATAGCCTACAAAATATATTCTTGAACCTCCTCGCTTCTGAACTTTGATCTCACCGGGTTAGCGCGATTCATTTATAGGTGTTACTGGATGAAGTGTTTTCAAACTAGGAATACCTATGGCGTCTTCATTTGCTTCTGCTTTTTTGTCTAACCATATCCAAACTTGGAGGGCTCGGTGATCCTCTGCTTCTAGACACAGAAGGTCGTTATTAGAGGGCATCTTCTATCCCATCTAAAACTATTCGAACCAATAGATCTCGCTGAGCATTAAGTCATTTCCACAGATCATAAATTCCTACTATAGTAAAGTTCGTAACCATATTCATGTTACCTATTTCTGTTAAACATTCCTCACAACAAACATGTCTGTAGTCACTGGACATTTACAGTGACCGTGTTAATTTCAAGTGGTACTGCCAGATGAAGATACCTGTCTCTGTATGTCCCTATTTTCTCACAGTGACGGTGTCCAGTTCCTGTCTCTCTCTCTCTTCAACTTAGATTAGCAGAATCAATGAACTGTTTGTCCCACGCTGTTCATATCTGGGACGTAGGAGAGGGATCATAAATACTGAGAAACATAATTCTTGTTATTTTTCTTCTGAGTACGAAGAGGTAAAAAATCAGTTAATATACAGAAAAACTGATGGAGTAGGACCACCTATCGTAGTCTCAGTATATAGAGAAGTAAAGTAATCTCCAAGCCTTCTTTAAAGAGATTCAATAGAACTGTCATTATTGTTCTTTCTCGTAGGCCGTTTCGTAACTTAGCAGTTGTAACCGTGGAAACGCTTGCATAAATTTTTATGTAAGCTCTCCGTATTAGCATAAATGGATACCCTTATAGATGCAATTAACTACTGAAATGCATAAGTGATATACTGGGGTAGAGTTTATGACCGATGTGATTCACCATTCAGAGATCTTACCCTCCAACTAATCTGTTGTGCTCACGTTGCACAATTAAAGCCTTCATTCATGCTTTTTTCAGAGCACGTTTCAAGGGGATGAGATGTTTCTTTAGGTAAGGGTCCATAATACTGGTGTTTATTAACTAAATTCTAAGTAAACACTAGAAAAGATTTTAAATAGTTCTGGAGCCAGGACTTCACAAAGAAATTCTAAGACAAACTGCTTCTTTGGCATCAGAATACTAATGAGCGGATGCTCTTTAAGCATCACGTAAGCTACTGCTCTGGTGATTTTCTGGCGTTAAGGTGTACAATACTAGAGACACCTAGAAAGTACGAGGTCGGTATAATACTAATGTTTATCATAGGGAATTACCAGCGCGGCTGTTTTTGAAGCTTCAGTCCTATGTCCTGCATAAGTTTCCCCAAAACGTTGAAACATATGAGAGACCTTGTATTTCTCTTCAATTCCCATGATCACCCACATATAATAGTTTGAGAATCCTGATGATACTGCCAAAAGAGATAAGCAGTATTTCGTGATAACAAAAAGAACAAAGGACCTCAGGTTTAGGTCCATATATGGATTAAGACAAGAGGCAGCATGAACTTAAAGACGTATACTCGTTTTATGTGTAACTAGGATGCAAAGAGTACATTCTATCTCTAATTAATTTTAGACACTAATCATATAAACGTTTTTCAGAGCGATTAGTACAACATAAATAAAAAAATAACAAGAAAGTGACATTACGAATCATTTACTTCAGTCGCTAGAGATGTTATTTTTTTAACTCAACTGATCAGACCAACAAATTTGGGTGACTATTGAATAATAACAACTTTGAGATGGTGAAGAAAGGATTTTTAGCTTTACCTAAATAACAACTTTATTTGCGATTTTTCCACTATCCCAGCTGGAATACTTCAAAAATAGTAGTACATACGATTTTCTTATCGATTCGTCAAAGGCTGAAATTCCTGCTGTACTGTGTACTGTGCTCACTCCGTGTTTTGAGGGTACTTTTCAGGAGGGCGCGTTAAGTCTGCAAAATAGATGAAGTAGTTCAGGCATTAAAAAGGATCCCAAACGTTTGGAGGCGCCACTAAAACCCAGGCGATCTGATGCATAAGCTATACTCTCCATAATCGAGGAGATCAGCCAGGTTTTCTAGTCGTCCTTATCTGCAAAGACCACACACAACGGTGTATCTCCGTCAAAAACTATTGTTACTACTGTCTGGGAGAGTGAGAAAACTCTCAAATATAGTTGCTAATATTTGATAATAACATAAAATTATCACGACGAAATGACAAAAGTTGTTATGAAATGAATGTTACTTGATATACCATTTATATTGTAACTGTAATTTGCTACATTTTGCTCTACTCATAGACAGTCACTTGGGTTTGTAGCGTTAGCTCTTTTTTGGTATATTATTGGTAAGTTTGCATATTTTTATATATTGAATAAACTCTTTTACTGGGATCCACCACAAATCTGGTGAGCCTGCACATTCGTTTTTCAGAACTGTAATTTTGAGTTCATTCACAAACAGTATGGCGTTAATTTTCCTCTTGGTAGCGATTATTTTTTGTATATTTGTAGTGTGTTCCTTTGAATCTGAAGGCATTAGCCAAGATACCGATTCGATAGAGTTACACGCTCTAAACTTGATAAAGGTACCTCCAATCAGTAGAATAAACACGCGTATTTGGTTTGCACAGTTGGAAGTATAGTTTCAGTGTCGTAACATACATTCACAGGCATTAAAATATTTTTTGTGCTTCGAATCATACCGAGTAAGGTAGCATTCGAGGTATCGGATCTTATAGATAATGGCCCTGCATCTAATAACTATGATCAGTTGAAACAGGCTATTATTCAACATACCTCAGTAAATCATGGAAAGAAGTCACAACAATTGCTGCAGGAGTACGAGTTAGGTGACAAATCACCCTCCCAACTATTACTGAAGGTGAAGCAGTTTGTTGAACCTTATAAGGTTAATGATGCTTTTCTGAAAGAAACTTGGCTGCAACGTTTACCAACGATAGTCAGGCAAATTCTCTGTACTTCTAGCCAACCTTTAGATTTAGAGAGCTTAGTCGGCATGGCTGACAATATTTTAGAAGTAACACCTAACACAACACCTTACGTGCAGAAGATATCAGAAACACTAAGCGACACGCAAACCCCGACCGTAGTATCGTTAACAGCTGAATTAAGTGACCTACGTACACACCACGCAAATGCTGTTGCTAGTCTTGAAAACAAACTAAATGCATTACAATCATCAAGTCCCAACCTCATGTTTCAAAGATTGCGATCCTATTCCCGTGGGAGTAAGAACCCGGACACCACAAGAACAAACAAATATGACGATCACATCTGTTGGTACCATAGAATGTATAGCGACAAAGCTAAGAAGTGTGTTACGTTCTGAAAATTTTGGAGCCATTTTCCTTGCCAAAACGTATCACCCAGACAGTAGTAACGACGAATGTTACTGGAAATGCCCCTCGCCACATCTTCCACGTCCTTGACAAGAGTTCCAGCTACAAATTCTTTGTAGACACTAGAGCCGAAGTCAGTGTTATTTTAGTTACTTTAGCCAAGAGACCTATTGTTAAAAGTGGAAAATACTACTCAAGAGCGACCAATAAAACTGAAATAATGACATTTGGAGAACAACTCCTGACATTCGACTTAGGAATTAGAAATCGTCTAGTCTGGGTTTTATCGCTGATGTCCGTCACCCACATTAGGTGCAGACTTCCTAAGCTCCTACAACTTTTAGTTGATATCAAAAAAGAAGGCATCGATTCTTGCACAGAACTTCAAGATCTGGAAATTCAGGTGGACTATCACATACGTAGTATTAAAATCAACACTACATTAGACGACATATTCGCTAATGTTTTATCTAAATTTTTCAGGATAACGAAACCAGACTACACGGAAAGCATGATCCAACAGTTTGCAGTACGTTGAATCACTACAATAAGCCAAACAACTTCGGCACGTCTACAACGATCACCACCGGACAAGCCTAATGTTGTGAAAGCCGAATTTGAGCATATGATGCAACTCGGAATAATACGTCCGTTAAGTAGCTCCTGGGCATCCTCACTTCATATGGTACCTAGGCGAGACCAGGATTGGTGACTTTGGTGTGATTACCGATCATTGAATAACTTCGCGTTACCTGATCGTTACTCCATTTGCACGATTTTCCACTTGTGTTACGTGACCGAACGTTTTCTAAAATCGATCTTGTGCGAGCGTCCTAGGCAGCAGTAGGTACGGTACTGCAATAATGAGATCAAACCACTTGCTTTCTTTCCAAAAGACCAAACTCAGACAGGATACATCACTTTTGGTAGTGAATTATTGGCTATTTACCTATCAGTTAAACATTTTAAACACTTACTGCAAGGTAGAGATTCCATGATATTCACTGATCACAAACCTTTGGCTTACGCCTTTAGTGCCAAAAACGATCGTTATTCTCCTGGAGAAATTTGACAACTAGGTTACATTTCTGAAATCTCGACCAACATACAGTTTATAAAAGACGATTCAAGTGTTGTGGTAGATATTTTATCACGTTTACAGGCGGATGATTCTGATCTTGCTGCTTGTAAGCGAAATTCGAGTCTGGTGTTAAAAAGTGTTGCAATATTACATTCTTACTACTACAATTTGTGATACTTTGACTGCAACACACAGACCATTTGTGCCAACAGTGCACAAAAACGTTTTTGATTGTCTTCACCCATTATCTCATC